ATATAACATTAAGCCATTTCCTGGAAAGACCCCGGATATGTTGAAATTGCCATCCAGTAAGGCCAGTTTGGCCCAATTGCGTATTGTGACGCAGGGCAGCTCGGGCTTGCTTCTTCAGGCCTGAGCCACCGACCCAAAAAAAAAAAAAAAAAAGGAATTGCAACTTTCAACCAATTCATAATCAAATAAAGTTAATAAACACGTTTAAAACCTTAAAAATTATTTTTAATGTATACAAAAAAAAAATACATAATCAAATCAATTTTTTTTTCTTTTTTGCTCCAATTTACCTCATCTAACTATTTAATAGCTTAAAACCAATATGGACAAACTCATCTCTCATAGGTAAAAAAATTTAATGAATTTTCTCCGACTAAAGTGACCTAAATAAGCTTGGCCGACAATCTCTCTCTTCTTCCTTCCCTTCTCTCTGCACCCAGAGACTAAAATATATTAGCAAATAAAGATACGGATCAAAATATTCGTTCAAAAATATTAAGGATTAAAGTGTAAAAATTTATATAATTTTCATATCATCACCCATCAAAATCCAAAAATCATAAAAAAATTATCTACATTGTAGATGAGTCTATAGCTACAGTAAATGAATAACAACCCAAAGCTCAGTTCTTTTAGTTATATATAATATATCAATATCAACAAGTTATTCACAAGCTATCCGACATTCAAAATGAAGGGAAGCCATGGCTACTAAATTTAATTCCTTTCAAAAGAATGGCACTTGGTTTCTAGTTCCATCTCAACTAGGGTAAAATATTGTTGAGTGTGGTTGGATCTATGGAATAAAGCATAAGATTGATGGATCCATTGAATGCTACAAGATTGCTAAAGAGTTTCGTCAACAATCCGAAATTGATTATAGTTAGACTTTCAATCTCGTTGTCAAATCTAGAACTCTTCGGGTGGTTCTTGCTCTTGTTGGCCTATGAAACAAGTTGATATAAATAATGCATTTCTTCATGATGTTTTAAATAAAATAAAAAAAAGTTGACATGATGTAGCCTCCTAGATTTGTTGACCCCGCACATCCTTCTCATGTGTGTAAACTTTAAAAGGCTATTTATGGACTCAAACAAACTCCTGGAGCATGGTTTCTTAGTTTTGCCTTGTATATTCGTTGTTTGGGTTTTACTTCCTTTTTTATTGATAACCTATTATTTATTCATCAAACTATTATGTGGATGATATTATAATCAGTAGCACATATGAATCTATAATCATTCATTTTCTAAAAAATTTGCACCATCTCTTTGCAATGAAAGATCTTTGAATTCTTAATTAATTTATTATCATTGAAGCTATTTGGGATTCTAAGGATCTATATATGTATCAATTCAAAGCCCATCTACTCAGTTGTAGCATTTGGCTCAAAACTCTCCTGTTATGACGATTATTTGCTACAATATCTTCCATTCACAAGGCCTGACATCACCTTCACTACAAAGGACTGCACGTTAGGCTACTGTCAAATGCATTTTGCGCTATCTAAAAGGAACCATTACATTAGGCTTACACTTCTTCTTTGGTTCAGTTCAATTAATTGCATATTTTGGATGTTGAATAGGTCGGTGATCTCGATAACAATGACCTACCAGTGGTTACTATATCTTTTTTGGGTCTAACTTAATATCATAGAGTGCAAAGAAACAATCCACTAAATCAGAATATTGTTCTCTTGCTCATACTACAACTGAACTTTCATGGATTCAAAGGCTTTTCAAAGATTTAGGCATCATCCTATTCAATCCTTTAGTCATCCATTATGGAAACATAAGTGGCATCTCAATCTTTCATGGATTCAAATGTTAATTTTGCAAGTTCTTTAGATCAATTAGTAGATATTAAAAAAAAAAAAACTAAAATAATTGAACTTTTTACTATTCATTTACTATACACTATTCATTGAAGCCTGGTTTTTGTATAATTTTTGCTTCTTTTTCGGGCAGTTATATATAAATTATATAATCTTTTATGTTTTGGTCCCCTATATTTTAAAATTTTTATTTCCATCTAGGATTTCTTTTTGTTGGGCTAGTCAGGACCCAAGGGTTTGAGAAGCAGGCCCAAGTGGGGCTAGCCTCGCATGTAGCCTATAGAAGCAGGCCCAAGCACATGGGGCTAGCTGCTCACACAGGCCTGACCAAGCAGGCCCAAGCGGACTGCCCTGGCCTGGCCTGGCCTTTTTTTTCACGTGATTGGATGTGAAAATTATAAAAATCATATTATAATTTTTTTTTATTTTATGTAAAATTTGATGATGAAGAAACATATACAATGTTTTTTAAGATTTTAGGTTATATATATATATATATCAAAATTTATTAAAACTAATTTTATATTAGTTTTTATTTTAATCTATTAACTTCAATATATTTCATGTAATTTAGGTGATTTATACGTGTGTGTATGTGTATATCATTGGTTTTGCTGAAAGTTAATTGTGTATCGTGCACATAACACTAATTTTTTTTATTTTTTATTTTTATGTTTTTTCACGTTCTAAAGTCAATATTTTTCAAATAAAATAATTAAAATAATATTTAAAAAAACCTCTCAATTATCGAAATATAGTTTTTATTCTAATATTATTGATTATTTTGTTAGCAAATATATATAAATCAAACAATTTTGATCAACAAATAGATTCAATTTATATTAATTATCATAAATAAGACTTTTATCCGTACTTTATCATACAAATTGTTAACCTTAAGCATGTAACGGTTGTCCAACTGTAAAATAACGAAAATATTTAACTAGTACATGTACTAAAAAAAATAAATTATTTTACTGTAGTTAAGTTGCGCTAAAGTGAATAAAAATGACGTTATTTTGGGTCTTTTTGACTTGAAACAACTTGTTTTCTAAAAAGTTTTTTTTTTGTTTTGTTTAATTTTTTACGCTTTGCTTTTTCGACGTATAATATTATACAAAATGGTTCCTGACATTTATTTTTTATTACAAAAAGGTCTGTATTTTTTATGGGTGAGCTATGCTTCCAGCCCAGGAGCGTGATATGAGCTCAGTCCATCCTTTTTTTGTTTTTGTGCTTTTATTTTTTCATTAGTTATTATTTACTCAAAATAATTTTTTTCTCTAGATAGTTAATGGTTACTTTTTTTTATAGACTCATTAACTAAAATTAAACATTTTTCTAATATAAAATGATTTACACAATTTGATTTTTTTAAAAAATAAATATTTAATTGCACATTTTTTTATTATTCAAAATAAAAAAAATTCCTAAGATATATTTAAACTCAATTATAAAATATATTTTTATTAAATATTACATAATATATATTAAATTAAATAAATTTCACAATTATTATTAATTAATTTTTATTTCATAGCTAAATTTCTCAATTATTTAAAATATTAAAATATATTATATATTCTTATCTCTAAATGATAAAATGAGCTCGTTAGATGAAACTGGCAGCATGCATAGCAGGCAGTTACTAAGTTCATTACTGAAATAAAAACAGCTTAATTAATTAATTATGGCTATAAATTAATGCTAGTAATCCATAATCCATTCGCAGAAAGAGAGAGGACAAATCAGTGAAATTAAATAATTAAAACCCTGTATGATTGTTATTCATCATTAATTGATAAGGGTTCCATCTAAGAACTATTGGATTAATTCAAGATATATGGATGAGAGAAATAAAGATTAACAAAGCAAAAAAAGAAATCTGTATGATCTTTCAATTTGTGCGTGTCATCCTTGAGCAGACGTTGTGCTAATATTCTCTTGCAATTTTATTAGATAAAATACGATATGTTTTCATAAATGTAATGCTAATATTGTCCGTATCGTTCCAATTTTATCAGAGAAGATACGACGTTTGCTTTCTTGAGGTCATAAAAGCTAGCTTCTGTATCCTTATAACTAGTTAACACCAAAAAAAAACAAAATCTGCTGCAATTCAAACTATTATTCCGCACCAAAGCAAAACCAGAATCATACATGATTGATCAATCAACATTATTACTTAACAATGAAAGGAGCCCTTTTAGGCTTCACAATTTTATCACTTAACAATGCCTTCTCAAATCCCACCAAATACCTTGTAACACTGAAGCCACAACCTGACTATAATTTCACACATGGTGTGGCATCCCTATTTCGCTGCTTCTAAATCAGGACTAACAACCACGTACCCATTAACTCAGTAACTCCATCTCCAATATTTCAAGCTCCAAAAAGCTCCCAAAAATGCATTCTATAACTTTCCTGGTATCTCGCGCCATTGCCACCATGAAAATGCTCAACGTTTGCTCTGGGTCTCTCTATTTACTTTGAAAAGCCCTTTTTAGGATCCGAACTTGAAGCACCAAATAAGAAAATGAGGGGGTTGCATTGCCTGCTGAAATAGTAATGCCACTCCGTGTGTGGAATTGTAGCCAAGCTGGGACTTTGGTGGCTTGAGTGTTGCAAGGGAATTTGGTTAGATTCGGGAAGGCATTAATTGTCGAGTGACAAAAATGTGGAGCCTAAAAGGGCTCATTTGATTCCTGGGACGGAAAAGGTTAAGCAGGCAGCTCTGGAAACAGGGGCTTTTGGATGTACCATTAGTGGGGCGGGGCCGACTGCGAAGGCAGTGGTGGAAAGTGAGGAGAGCGGGATGGAGATAGGGGAGAGAATGGTGGAGGCTTTTCGGAAAGAAGGGAATTTGAAGGCTGTTGCTGTGGTGAAGAGGTTAGATAGAGTTGGTGCTAGACTTATTGGTAGTGTTCCTAGATGTTGATGATATTGATCATAAAATGATGCTGATTTTGATTTGATGTGGAATAATAAGTTTGAGTAGCAGCAAGTATCTATCTACTCACCAAGCAAATAAGTAGTGGAGAGGGCTTATTTTGTTTCTGTTTTACTTTAGTGTTAATGCAGCTGTATTTATGAATAACTTGACATGTTTCCCTTCGCTTTGGCAGCACGTTCATGTTTACTGAAGGAGGGAATTGACGTAAACATGAAGATTAGGATGAGGAGAGCCGAGGACTATGCATCTGATAGTGCTGCTGGTGATTCTGATGACAATTTGAAGATTCTATTGATCTCACGTTCGACAACAAGCATGGACAAGGACACGGTCCGACCTGCCCATGGAATCATGTCAAACATGAGGCAAGGGAGTCTGATAACAGGAAATGCAGGAGATCCGTCATCCAGTTGGTAACACAGGGATTGGTGGTGATTGCAGCGGGCATGGAAATCGTACGAGAGAGAAGGCCAAGATGGAAAGAAGGAAGGAGGCTTTAAGAGAGTTTATTTGAATCAAGAGGGAGCCCCTGGTTCTCGGCGTGGATCTCTGGTTTCTCTGACAGGTGCTGATGCCCATGCAGACCGTGAGTACATCCAGGCTGCTGCTTTGCTGAGTCAATCAGCTCTTTATCCCAAGGAGCTTGTGAATGAGCATCCAGTTGGACCAGCTATGGTCCACCCATTGAAACTGCAGCTAAAGGACCAAGCTGGAGAGATCTTTCCGAACCAGGACTCAAGCCTGCCTTGGCTGTTGGGGTGGGACTTCAAAAACTTCAGCAGGTAAGAAATAGAGTCTACTGATCTTGGTGCTTTGTGATGAAATTAATTTAGTGCCTACTCTTTTGCTCTTTATAATGGTAACAATTTAATCCTAGCATCTGTTCTGTTTTCTTCAACAGGGACCATTTCTAAACTTTAATAATAGATAATGGTTTTAAACGAATGGTTATGACACTCCCATATGTGCCATCATTTTCTTCTTTTTCTTTTGACAACTATGCCTTAAAGTTTGATGCATAGTAAATTTGTTAATGGAGACACGATACTGCTTTAAGGTTTTGTATCGCTTTTCGCAAGTTGCTTCTAAATTTGTGTGCCTACGCAGTTCGCTGGCATAAATGGGGTTCTCAACTATACTCAAATTCTTGAGCAGGCAGGATTTGGAGTTCTTCTTTCAAAATTGGGCATTAGTTCAGCTTCTACATCTCCGCTTATCAGCTCCCTTACAACAATGCTTCCTTGTATAGCGGTTGCCATGAAACTCCTGGATATCTCGAGGAGAAGTTACTTCCATTTTCTTTTTTTCCTCCTTTGACTGGATTTAAAAAGAAGAAGAAGAAGAAGAAGAAGAAGAAGCTATAATTGATGTGCACTATCCCTTTGTTGTCCCTTGTTCCCCTAGTATCGTTAGTGCTGTTATGTTTGGCAGGGCTTTGCTGCTCGCTACTATCCCTGTGTTGATCTTATCCCTCGTTTAGTAGGAATGTTCGTTCGGTTTCAAAATATTTTTACTGATTTTTGAAGCAAACTTTCAAGAAAGAAAACCAAGTTTAAGAAAGAAAATCAAAACCGAACTGAAATGTTATTCAGTATTTCGATTAAAAAACCAAAATTTCGGTTTTTGTTTTTGATTATTCGATTTTTACCCTTTTTTTTGTTTTGAAAAAATCTGAAAATAATGTCATGTTAAACTAGTAATATTTGTTACAAAATCTCATGTCTAGTTGATGATCATAGACTTTTTGCCCAAGTAGTTATAGTCCTATCGATGGAGATTTGATAGTTGAATATATTTGCAAAATCAAATTTAGAGTATAAATACTTACGTTAAATTTCCATGCATTTTTTTTTTTTTTTTTTGTAATTGAGATGAAATAAAGATTGAATCTATGTATGTAGATAATCAAAAGACTTTGATGTTACTACATAATTACTCAAAAGGGGAGGAGGAAGGGATGACTATTCTCGCTTCAAAAAATATATATGTAGTTAAAAAAAAAATAATTCAATTTTTCAGTTTTCATCAAACTCAAAAATTAAAAAACCAAACCGAACTCAAAAACTTAAATAATTTTGATTTGGTTTTTATTTTTTAAATTTCAAAAAAAAAAAAATCAAACTCGAAATTGATATTTCGGTTTGATTCGTTTTGATTTTTCGATTAAAAACGAATAGTGAGCACCTATCCTTTTGTTGGTACTTGGAAGCTTGGTGGATATGGGCGGTGTTGTTAATGCATCAATCTCAACTCGATAGCATTGTGCTCTACTTCGTTTTTTAGTCATGGGTTTTAGGCCAATTCCCAACATACTAGGGGCGAGATTGTCTCTACTCGTGTTAGTGGCCTTTGTATAGCCGATCGTGCCCTTACATTTTGGATTGGCGACATCATTATGACCTATACACTCCCAAGTGATGCTTAAATCTATTGGCCTTGCTTGGTGTTTTTGGCTTGTATGCGATCATTTGTATCATATCATTTGTGTTTGTCCACTTGAAAATTCCAAAGACCAAGGGCATACCTCTGGAAATGATATCCGAGTTCTTTGCCGTTGGTGCAAAGCAGTCGTAGCTACCTAGGAAAACCGAATCCAAACTTCTATGGATAGAAAAAGTTTTGACCATTGCTTTATTTGTCCCGTTTTATTTTTTTGTAGAAAAATACATCATCAATTTTCCTTCCTTTTGATATGATTTTATTTTACGACCTTGAAAGTTCTTTTTCCTTCTATATGTTGAAGTTCTTGAATACCCCTCGTATCATGTTAGCTAATAGCGAGGTTTCGTCTCAACCATCCTCTCACGCAAAGAATGGCTTTAGAGAAGAAACTATCAAATCCAATGAGAGAGATCGAGGTCCGAAGTTGGTCCTAAACATCTCCGTCGGTGAAAGTGGAGATCGTCTCACTCGTGCCGCCAAGGTGCTTGAGCGGCTTAGTGGTCAAAGCCTAGTCTTCTCCAAGGCTAGGTATACCGTTAGATCTTTTGGGATCGGGCGTAACGAGAAGATTGCTTGCTATGTGATCGTGAGGGGAGACAAGGCTATACGATTCTGCTGAAAAGTGGATCGAAGGTGAAGGAGTATGAGCTTTTGAGAAAAGAACTTCGGTGATACTAGTTGCTTTGGATTCGGTAACCGGGAGCACATTGATCTTAGCATCAAGTACGACCCTTCAACTGGTATTTGTGGCATGGACTTCTATGTTGTTCGGAACGTCCTAGATATCGTGTTGGTCGCCGTTGTCATACCCTAAAATTTTACCTTTGTGTAATATTTTAGTTTTCTTTATTTTATTTTTATTATTTAAATTTAGGCTTGCTTCGTATAAAATCAAGACAAAAAAAAACAAAAATATTTTCTTTTATTTATTTAGAATTCGAACAAAATTACAAAAAAAAAATTAAAACTATAAAAAATGGAAAAATACAAAAAAAAAAAAAAGGAGGGACATTTCCCTTGCATCTTTTGTTCTTTTGCATCTTCGGTCGGTTCTTGCCATCTTCACAAGCTCGAATTGCAACTTGTTGTCCTTTATCCCCGCAATTCCCGCACGGACCCTCCAAGTCAACAATTCCAACGCCTCATCATTCCGACGACCCTCTACTACCGCCACAATCCCTTCAACCCCCAACTTGCTCCCGTAGCACTCCTACCTCCAATCAACAATATCAAGCCACGACCACCCTACTACCGCAAATTCTAGCAGCTCCCTCATCACCCAAGTCAACCTCCAAGCACTCCCTACTGCTCGCCATTTCGCAAGCACCACCTTACAACCTCCCCAATTCCTGCAGACCTCACCTTGCAACAACCGCATAGCCTTCCCCTATTACCAGCCTCTACCACAACCATCCCCTACAACCCAAATGGCCACACTCGCCCACTCCATATCCCGCAAAAAAATCTCACACCATCATGGTGGAGAACCAAGCCAATATTCACGGATATATATATATATACACAAACAACAGACAGAACATGAAGGAGGGGGGATTCAGATCCAAAAAAAAAAGGCAGGAAGTCCACAAAAATTAAGAGCTCGAAATTAAAAAAAAAAAAAAGAAGAAGAGGAAATCAATAGCACAAAAGAAAAAATCCAAAAGAGGGAAAGAAATTGAATTTACCCAAATTGAAGTTGCAATCCATACCCATTTTCATCAATCCTTATAGGTAATACCATTTAATTTCTCACTAATTTTGGTTTTGACAAAAGTTAGGATTGTGTTTTGAAATTTGAGGGGATTTTGAATTTGGGTGCGAATTGAGTTTAGGAAGGACAAAATAAACCTAATCGAAGGCAATTACAGCTTCAATTTGGGGTTTAATCCCCAAATTGAAGCCGAATTGATGTCAATTTAAATCTAGGATTCCCGATAATTTTTGAATAAATTGATTTGGGGGTTTTCAAAATTTCGAGTCCTAAAGGGTTGAATTGACTTAATTTCACTTGAAATCAAGTCAATTAGGTCTACTTGAACGAAAATTTTGATGAAAAATCAAACTTAGGTTTGGCCAAATTAGGGATTTTTTGAAAAAAATTGATTTGAGGTTTTTGATCTAGAGGGGAATTAAGGCGTTTAGGAAGGAAGGAAAGAAGGGAGAAAGGAAGGAAAGAAGAAAAAGGGAAACAATCGAGTGGCCATGGACGAACCACCCATTGTAGCTTCGACCATGAGAGGGAAGAAGAAAAAGAAAGAAAAAGAGAGGGAAAAGAAAGAAGAAAAAAAAACGAGAAAGGAGGAAGAGAAGAGAGGGAAGAAAACAAAAGAAAAGAAAGAATAGAAATAGGGACGAACCAGGTGGTGGTTCGTCCATGGCGACTGAGGGAGGAAGAAGCAAAAAAAAAAAAAAAAAAAAACAAGAAAGAAGGAAGAGAAAATGGGAAAGAGATGAAGAGAAAGGAAAAATAAAAATTGGGTTTTGATCTAAAACTTTTGAAAATATGGTTTGGGTTATGTTTTTTGGGTTAATGTTTTATTTTTAGAAGTATGGGTTGGGCTTAGCCCAACCCGCATGTAGCAGGCTGGATTAGCCCAACCTGACTCGAAATTTTCCTTTTGGGTGGGTCGGACGAGTCCGGCCCAAACAAAAAAAATAAAAATAAAATAAAAATAAAGTAAAATAAAAAAATAAATACAAATTTTTTTTGTTATTTCATATTTAAGTTAGATATTGAATTTTTTTAATTATTTCAATTAATGTAATTTTTAATCTTGAGTTTATTTTATGCATGTTTGTTAATTTATGTTAACTTAGAATTTAATATTTTAATTGTTTGTAAATATTTTAATTAATATGATTTTAAATTTGAACTTATTTTATGCATGTCTATTTTTTACATTTCAATATTTGAATTTTTTTTTCTTTTCTTTCATTTATTTGGTTAGTGTAGCTTTAATTTATTTCTTTGGTAATTAGGCTTGGTAAGTAATGAGTGGAAGATTGTCAAGTCTCCTAATTTTTTTTTAGGGACTAGGATCGATGACAATCTTTCACTTAAAAAAATAATAATAATAATAATAAAATAAAGAAAGAAAAACAACAAAAAATATGTGTAATAAATTTTACATTTTAATGTTATGCATGTTATTCCATTTTTTTATTTAGAGGTTAAATGGTCTTTATTTATTTTTAATGTAAATTTAATTTTAGGTTTATTTATGCATGTTAGTTAGAATTTGTCATTTTAATACTTTGTAATTGTTTGAATTTACCCTTGAATTTATTTTATGCATACCTATTATTAATTTAAATTTCAATATTTGAAATTTTTTTTATTTAATTCATGTAGCTTTAATTTATTTGTTTAGTAATTAGGCTCGGTAAGTAATAAACGGAAGATCGTCAAGTTTCCTAATTTTTTAGGGATTGATGACAATCTTTTACTTTAAAAAAATAATAATAATAAAAACAAAAACAAAAACAAAAAAACATAAAACTTTTAACAAAAGTCTCCTATCCGATAAGTGGTCGTTGTCAGCTGAAAAATTCATTTTAATAAATAAGTGTTCTCCGAGCACATTGGTTGTGTTGAAACTCAAAAAGTGGTTCCGATGTTTGAACCGACGTGTCTCTTAGACGGAAGGAGTCCGACAATCGTTTCAATATGATGCCACGTTCAAAAATAAAAAAACTTAATTTGACTTGAAAAAATTGAAGTCTCAAAAATCAAAAAATAAAATTGGCAAAAATAAAATACTTTAGGAGATAGTTTATGACTAACCTAGACGTAGTACCTTTCTTAGGAAAAGACACTTTTGGATGATTAATTATCTTCCCATAAGTGTAACTAACTCCTTACCATGGAATCTCCGAACCAGTGTAAATTTTAGGTTCCTAGTTCCTTTAATACTAGGTGGCGACTCCAAACTCGGAAATAGTTTTGTAAATAAAATAAAAATCTGAAACTAGTGATACATGAGAGATTTATTTTTTGAGAGTCCCATCCGACATCGGGTAGCGATAGCCGTCATAGGTGCAAGTCTCGTGTCGGAATCCACCAAAGAGTTACAAAGGATGATGCAATGAGATGGTTCCGGATCAAATACGAAGGAGTCATCCTTAACAAGTCCTAGAATATTTCATCTTAGATCTTCTTCCTTTATTAAGTTAAAAAGCTCGGCTAGTTACATTTGGCATGATTGTGTATCCGAATACATAACTTCTTCGATGAGGTTTTTGAATTGTTAGTATCAAAAAAAAAAAAAGAGCAGGGATGATCAATGATGTATGAGAAAGGGAAGGTTTATTTTCGAGTTAGGAGAGTCAAGTAGGGTGTGCTTTTGCTTGGGGCATAAACGGACAAAACAATGTAATTAATAAAACACATTAAATGTAGGCATGAAATGAGACTAGCAATAGCGAGACAAAAACCCGAAGTTATGTTAGACCCAAAACTTAACAAAAACATGTCCTATGTTATTCATAAAACCACATGAATTAAAAGTATGGATAGATATAAATAAATAATATTTTTTTAATAAAAAATTTATCAAAATATAAAAAATAATTAAACAAATTATAAAAATAAAATAAAATTTTATTCAATTTTGATTTAATATATTTTGATATAAGATATTAAAATAAAATAATTTTATATATTTTTTCATCTACCGATAAAAAAAAAAATTAACCCTAAAATAAGCAAAACCTAAACAAGCCCTCTCTCTACTTGTTTGCTTGGGTGAATAGATAGACATTTGATGCTATTCAAACTTTTATTATCCGGGAACACCGCCAACAAGTCTAGCACCAACTCTATCCAACCTCTCGATGCACCGCAACCGCCTTCAACTTCCCTTCTTTCCAAAAAGCCTCCACCATCCTCTCCCCAATCTCCACCCCTCTACCCTCACTCTCTACCCCTCCCCCCCCCCCCCCACTAATGGTGCATCCAAAAGCATCCGCCTCTAGAGCGACCTTCTTAACTCCTTCCATACCGGGAATTAAAGTGGCCCTTTCGGGCTCCACGATTTTATCGCTCGACGGTGCCTTTCCCAATCCTACCAAATCCCTTTGCAACACCGAAGCCACCAAAGCCCCGACTTGACTACAATTCCATACATGGTTTGGCATCCCTATTTCAGCGAGCAATGCGAGTCCTCATTTTCTTCGTTGGTGCTTCAAAATCGGGACTAACAAGCACAAAGATCAAATCTTTTTCAACTAGGAATTGTAATCTCATTAACTCCAGTGGATCATAACTTCTAATTAAAACAAAACCACCCATTATTGCTGGTGCTATATTATCAGCATGGTAACCTAAAACTTTAGATTCGCATTCCAAACCAACCAAGACTAAATCTTTCACCTCTAATTTCCTTCCAAACGACTCATTCACCGCCACAAGAACTGTAATAACGATTGGTCGTGCTAGATCCAAGTCCGGATCCTAAAGGAAGGCCCTTTTCAAAGGAAAGAGAGAGACCTACAGAGTGAATGCCGACCATTTTCATGGTGGCAATGGCAGCAATGCCAACACAATTATAGAGTGGGTTTTTGGAGAGCTTTTTGGACCTCGAAACATTCGAGATGGAGAGCTCACCGGGGTGGATGGAG